CCTTGGCGATATGGCTGTGTCCAGTTCTGTTGGTAGTAATATTTTTGATGTTTGTGTTGGGTAAGTTAACATTTTTTTCGACTTACAAAATTAATCCAATACTGTTCTTAAAATGGCGGGAGAGGATACTGTAGGATAATGTGTGGTGAAAACACAAGTTCTTTTCCGACCCTGAATTTTTGGAGATTCCTATTGTTATTATAATTAACCTCAATTGCTCTTGTCAGTTAGAGGTAACAGTAAGTATATTTATGTGATAGCAATAACAATAAGAAAACGGTGGAAAGTAAGGTCTGATGTTGGCGGACGGTCTCTTGATGTTGGTAAACGGCGTCCTAATGTTTGTAAACGGCATCTGGTCGGTACAAAAACAAATGTTGACACTAAAAATTTGCTAGAAAAATCGGCTACTGAGCCCATCTGGAGCTGCACCTCGCTTCAGCTGAGTCCAGCTTACAAAGAGAGCTGCATACATAATTAATGTTGGTGCGGCTGATTAACGGCGGCACCGTTATTACAAGGGAGGTTACGGTATCGCAAAAACGCGAATTTATGTAATTTATTTTAATCTTGTATCTCTTTCACTTCCTTTGTTTCCTTTCCCTATTCGAGGTGCTTTTCCTCGACATAACGTATTATAGAAAAAGACTGTAGATACGGATTGATTATTGCAGATGTGCTTAATATGATTAAAGACAAAGATTATGAAGTAGGTCCGCTGTAAATCTTTTAATATCTTGATGCATACATCGGCTAACCACTGCTTAATCTGATTTGCAGGCTTCCAATCCCATGGTTATTGTTTTTCATTATTGAGCCTCTTCGTAATCCTGGCAGTGTTCAGGACTTTGTTTCTGTTTCAAGGTTAGTGTCCTCTGCTGTTATTTGAATTTTCTTCTTTAAACTTCATGGTGGCTTTATTTCTTTAACAAGTGCCACTATTTTTTGGGTTTCAGTACTGATTATTTAAGCCATGTCGGTGATAAATACTGTGTTTTCTACTACGGCTATTACATCTTAGTGAGGTGTCAAGAAAATGGTAGATTTTTTGTAGCAATTTTGCAATCTTTGCAGCAACGGGCTTGTGTGCAGTGTCGGTATGCTCTTCATCATGCTGGTGGTTCTGGTCGCATCGACCGCCTTATCAAACTGGGAAATGAATAAATTGTTCGGTGTGATCATGATTATATCGTATCTTGCATTCTGTGTATTTGCTGTCGCTCTCGAGATGCGCTACTTCTCATGTCCCCTTAAAATTTGTTGATCGGAGCTTTTGTCACTGGCCCAAGAGCACCTTGACATCGAAAATATGCAGGATTTGCAACTCCAGTCGCTGGTTTCCTAAGAAAAAGCCACAAAACATCACCT